TATAACTTTTATTAATGAGCTCGGCGGACATACATGTATTTAGGGCCTAATTACCAGGGTGCACCCTTATCTGATTCCAGGACACGGTTCTGCCAAACAACACATCTGTTAGAATCACATTTGAACGTGCCTTGCTGGGAGGGGGGAAGGGTATCCAAAGGGAGCACCTCTGCCTAAACGATAAGGTACCATAGGTGGGGATGCCTGTCGGCCACAAGCGGGGTGTCTGGGATGGCACTGGTAAGGCGGTCTGAGGTGTGGAGGATATGATGATTGTTGTTGATTATTTTGCAGAGGGGAGGAAGACGAGGATGGGAAGTGGTGACCAAGGGAATCTTGGGAGTTGTTTTCTTCACGGGGGGGGTCTTCTCCTTTAGCATACAGTTTGAATGGCTAAGTGAAGATGAAAAAAGACAAGGGATGAAGACAAGAGCATTTCTGATTTGAAGGGAAAATTTCTCTTTTCTCCTCAAATGTGAGTAAACATTACCCTCATTATTGAAATCCCTGATTCTTGCTTCATCCTAGGCCAGGGGCATGTGGAGGTGAATTTGAAAGATTTTGATCTGGGGTATGACAGCGCATCAGCTACATTTTGAGTGAAATGAATCCTAGCCGCGATGTTTATTGGTCAGGTTGTTCCTACTGAAAGTAGTACAGTCGAACCTCGTGAGTAAGAGGTCCTTGGGACTTAGCAAATTACCTTGTTATAACAGGAACTTGTATCATCAGGGATAAAACAATGAAAAAAAAAGGATTGGGATCTAAAATTTTCCTTGTTATAAGCAGAATTTTGTATTAACAGTGCTCTTATTAACGAGGTTTGACTGTATTCTCATAGGCTTAATTATTAGAAGCATGGTGTTTCTTTAAAAAAAGATCCTAATCTCTTCCATTCTTGTTCTAAAAATACCCCTAAATACATCCTCCTAGCTGCTATGAATTGTTTCAAATAAACTTGAGTCTGTTTGAACAGGCTTATTCAAGTTCTTCCTTGCCTAACAACATCTTGTTCCAATTCTTGCAGAGATCGACAAAGACTGAATGGTCTAATCCATACACAGACGTCTTTCTCATAATGGCATACTACTACAGAGGGTATAAATCTCTTTCATTCCGCACCAATAGCTTACAGCGTTTGACTTATCGTGGGGTATGTCTTAGGCTGAGATGGACCTTATGTCCCCTCTCAAATAAACAAATTGGACATGTCCTTCTGGAGATATATGGCTTTGAAGTGTGCTCCTTTAAAGTCATGTCACATGACACTGTATGACGTTCTAATGATAATGTTGTTCTTGGCCTCTCTCTAGCTGAGGGACTAAGAATGCACACTTATTATATACCCTGTAGTCAGTCTGATCCAGACAACTGCCAAAGACTGGCTGTTCAAACCCTATGGCATGTATGGGGAAAATGAGAAATTGAAAAATCAATAAAAAATCAGGGTCTTTGTTGGATGTAACTTTGATGACAATTCATAATCCCTAAATTACCAAAATGGTGCCTTGAAAACATGCACAAAGTCAATGGGCTAAAAACGCCTATCCAGAAAAACTGCTCCTCTAAGACTCATGTCACGTGATTTGTGTTTAAACTGAAAACATTTTTGAAATATTGCTTAATATTTTGACTGTAGGGTATATTTGTAATCTAACCAAAGGGAAAATTTAATCTGATTTCTCCTTTGTGCTGGTGGTAATTCTCAGTCAAGGTTGAGGAGTATTCACTCATAAAGTTCGATAATAATGTGTACCAAAAAAACGTGTACAAAACATATGGAAAAAACTGCAGCTTTAATCTTACATGTACATGTACATGTATGTCATGTGAACCCTAGTGATGTCATTACGACGATTTTGTTCTAGGACCCTCTCTACATGGAGGAATACAAGTGTTCACAAATATGAAATCAATTAGACTGATAGGGGTCCCTAAGTCTGGCTATTAAAAACATGCAAAAAACATATGGGGACAAATTAAATATTTACAATCAATAAAAATCACATCATGACGTTATCGTGACGATATGATTCAAACTTCATTTTGTTTCAGGATCTTTGTTGGCTGTCACTTTGATGAAAATTGAACACCACCAAATTATCAAAATGGTGGCTTGAAAATGTGTACAAAGTCAATGGGCTAAAAACATAGATGCAGAAAAACTGCTCCTTTAAACTCATGTCACATTATTTGTGTTTAAACTGAAAACATTTTTTGAAATATTACTTGACATTTTGACTCTAGGGTATATTTGTAATTGAAAGAAAAGGAAAATTTAGTCTGATTTCTCTTTCGTTCTGGTACCTAGTAATTCTTTGTCGAAGTTGAGGACTACTCACTCATAAAGCTTGACAACAGGGTGTAGTAAAAAACGTGTATAAAACCTATGGAGAAAAGCTGCAGCTTTACTCTCATGTCACATGACCCCAGATGATGGCATTATGACTAGGACCCTCTCTACATGATGGACTACATGTGTGAGTGTGCAATATGGAATCTGTCTGATTGATCAGTGCCGAAGACTGGCTGTTTAAAAACGTGTACAAAACCTGTGGGGAAAAATAAAAAATGCAAAAATCTATAGTATAAAAAATTAGGTGATGATGTCATGTTTTGCTTGGTCCCTTTCCACAAAACCACAAAAATTCCTTTGTGTAAGTCGGCATAAAAAAAATTGTGCTTCGGTATCAGTTTCCTTCGCCCGCAGTTGCCAAGAAGTGTCAAGTGACAAGTCCCACATTGCTTGACTGATAGCAGCACAGGCTGTGGTTGATAATTGGCCAGCATGAGTACATCAAAACCAGTAACCCCTCTAGGGTTACACGCATGCGCTCTGTCCATTTTGGGGTCGCCTTACTGAAACGACTTAACCAATGCATGTGCGGATGAGTGTATGTTTTCTGTAGCGTAACTGTATCATGTTTGTACTGCACTGTTGAGTCGTGATGTTATATGCAAGTGGCTTGCTGTCCTTGCTTCATCCTTGGATCAATTATCGAATTTGCAGCCTGTGAGGATAACAATCGATCACAAATTTGCTGGGATCGACCATGGAGGTAAAAATAAACCAGGGTAAATCAAAGCCACAGAATTAGTGTAAGGAATCATACTGTACATAGGCAATACATGTGTACATGTAAGTCAGCAAAACGAAGACTTACAGCACAAGTCGGCATTCGGTAAGTTGTCATAATTTCTTTAGTCCCGAGATTGTCGACTTTGCCTAGCACTACAGAGCGGAGCATTAGTAGGCCTATTCCTCTTTTTCAATTTTGGACGGGATCGTCGTACTAACGCTCCACACCTGTACATATACATGTACGTGTAGTAGGCCTAAGGCGAAAACGGTTCTTGAAAATTCCACAGACTCACCAAAATACCTGTTTCACCACCTTATGTCTTTTTTAATGCCGAAGGGAAACTTTTGGGACTTCAGTGGTATTTCTGACTTTTGTGTCAAAATCTGACCGTTTTTGCAGGACACACACACGACACTTAAACTTCTAGCCGCCTGCTCCATTCAAATGAGCGGACAGAGATTTTGCATCCACAATAACTCTATGGGCAAATATGGTCCTCCCAGACACACACAAGAGTGGCCTATAAGTCGTCTGGGCACAAGACTTGTTGATCATGACGTTTGGGAGTGCTACCAATGACCGTTTCCTGGTTAATAAGTCTTGTGCCCGACTACATGTGGATGTGGGCCTCTCCTGCAGTTTCATTAGAGGACCATGTTTGCCCATAAAGTTATTAAGCCAGAAAAATCTAGACGACGGGATTTAAAAGGGAGGAGGCGGCGAAGGATTCAAGTGTCGAGCGAAAACGGTCGGATTTTGACACATTGTGAAGTCGGAAATATCACTAAAGCCCCAAAAGTTTTCCTTTAGCACTTAAAAAAGCGCAGTGGCAGTAGCCTAGGTAGTGAAAAAGGTATTTTCAGCGAGACTTTGGAATTTTGGAACCGTTTCAACCTTACAATATGTACAGGCATGGAGTGTTAGTATGACGATCCCGTCCAAAATCGAAAAAGAGGAATAGGGGACCTATGCTCCACTCAGTTGAGCTCGACTTAGCCAGAGTAGTGTGAAGTAAAAGAACTTGTTGGCCTACAAATAAAAATGGAGAAAAATTGTGCACAGCTGTTGAATCATTAATAACATTAAAATCACTCACTTGACATGCTTGACGATGGTTCTTGGGAGGAAAAAATCAGGAAAGATGTTTGGAGTAGGCTGATACTAGTAACAACATAGATGAAACGCAAAATTTCTACAACTAGCACAAAGTCACGGTGGTTTTGAAAGGCTAAAGACGTCTCAAAAGAGGCGGCATGCATTGCCCTCGTCGAAGTAGAGAGCGCCCTCAATGGCTAAAAGTGTAAAATGTAAATGGCGCCCTCGGGGGACGGTAGGGGCCAAAGCAAACAGAACACTCTGTCCGTAATCATTAATTAACCATCATTTTAGAACTACACACTCTCATAAAGAATTTAAGTATTTTGCATGGTGTAACCGTCACATATTGCAACACTTGCACACCCAGGCAAATCAATCATCACGTACTGCACTTTGTCCATTGCTTAATTTGACCGCTCCGTCGCGAAAAACGTTACTCATACATCGGTCAAAGTTATCAGATTTTGATGTTCATTTTGAGTGGATCGTGACAAGAACTTAAATAACACAGTACGTGGTATTTTGTCAATTGGACTGACAAATTAACCCTAATAGCCAGCAACAGATGTGTACAAATGTGCCCATCGTTTCGCCAGACCGAATTCAAAACGACACGAACATTTCTTGATCTACTCGGTGCCCGACTGAAAATCAAAACTACGGGTAAATTCAGCCCTTGGTATAAGGAATTTACGTCATTGAAAAAAAGGAATAAAATTCTATGAATCTATTTTTCGATTGTACATGTAAAAAAATCCTCCATTTACTCAATCTGGTTCATGTCGATTCAAAACAATGCGGTTACAACATTTGAAAGGAAGAAATACAGCATATCAAAGAGCAAAAACATTAATACACACTGTAAAAGAAACTTGCCACTTCTGTCAAAGGCCACACCGTAAAAATTCACACCATACTCCATAGAAATAAACAATTTTTGTACACAGGTATGCTGCAATACCCCTTACTAATCACATGCCCAAAAGTAAGTGATTATCGTGAATTTTTATGTGTGGCTTTGGACAGAAGTGGCAAGTTCCTTTTGCTGTCCAGTGTACTTTGAGAGCAAATACACAAACGGAGGTTTTATTAAGCTGTCATATTAGCCCAACAAAATATTTATCAGACAGCATGCATTATTATTAAGCTTGCAGTAGGCCTACACGCGACAAATGCAATTTATGCATACAACGAATAAGCCTGGGCCGGCTAAAGGTAATAAATGCCTGCACGTGCGTGCTGAATATTTTCGTGGCACGTGGGAATGGAAGAGAAATGAATTAAAGCTTTCAGCCAGCTTGCATTTCTGAAAATATTAGAGAAAACAGTGTTCTCCAAATTGCTCTATTTAATGTTGGAATTTAGGTATCAATTTCCAAAATGGTGGTGGGCTTCACGACTGCTTTTAGTGTGATTATCTCTGGAGAGATCAAAGTCATCCCTATAAGACACAAAAAACTGAAAGAAATATGAAAGATGGGGAAATGGGATGTATTATTCGTCGAGATATCTGAGGTGCGGGTATATACTGATGTATGTGGCAGTTTATTTAATAGTGTGTAACCATAAAACACAGACCAAAGACACGGGACACACAGAAAATTATTCAGCCTTGCATGATATGCTGCCAGGACAACGCCGACACTAATACCTAATACCGCAGAATGCATTGTTCGACAATAAAATTAATGTCAGGTTTATTTGTGTAGGATGGAAAAATACTCCACGTAGTTTGTGTATAAATTAATCCATAAGGGACAGCACGTGCGAAAAATGTTGGCAATATCCTCCAGTTTTTAAGGCTTGATGTCCTACAGTCTTTCTGAGTAGAATCGATCTATAATGGACTACCGTATCTTTGGCTCTGTGCCTGTTGTATAAGGCCGATGTACATGTAATTACTGCTATATGAAGACAGTAGTTCTGCAGGATTTTAACGTTTTTATCATGGGAAGCCTGCTGTTTCTCACCTGTAATTCCTATCATGGTGTAATCACAATGTTAATTTCAAACCATTAGCATTTGGGGCTACAGCCACCTGCTTTTTCGACCTTTCCTTTTGTCCCCCTGCACTCGTCCATTCTTATTTGTCCCTGTCTACTTGTCATTTTTGCCTTTGAGAAAGATTCTGCTAGGGTCGAAACGTGAGGCCCTCTTTATTTTGTGTTTTGTAATTTAGGTTGCTATAGTCTGCAAGCAGTTTGCCTTAGTTTTATATTGAATGCAGTTAATTTTTTCACATTCGAGATTTTTTTGCCATGCTTTTACGAAAGCGGAGGAAAACCTGACATATACTATTCGTAAAGTTTCCAGGTAATGGCCTCGTCATCACGGTTTTTAATGAAGAGACAATTTTGTAATGATCAGTTTCCTTTTGACTTTGTCGTTTAGTATACTTTGTACATGTTCTTCAGAGATTTCATCATGCACAAAATAACGAGATCAACCACATTTGACAAAGACACCATCAAGATTGTGTGAACCAAAAATCGATATCGCCTGACAGTGTTGTATTCGAATTCATCACAAGTCCTTTTACAAATCCCTTCACAAGTACTTTCACAAGATCAATTATAAGTACATGTAACAGGATGAAAAATGTATGTAGGGCCTATATGTATATAGGGCCTACTTTACCGTCTAAAAGAGAGCTGCAGAGAATTATCGTTCAGGAAAAACAGAGAGAAAGACGCGCCACCACGAACCCAACAGGTGCTCGTCAGACATGCCTTTTGGCGAGATCAGCAGGTCCAAAATTCACAAAACTGAGACCATTTCTACATTATGTAACTCTCGCTTGATATGAACAGGCATGAAGGTGGAGACCACCAGCTTATTAGCATGTCATTATTCGTGTTTCAGTTTGTCTGATATGTGATGTGATGGTACTTTTATGAATCTGTTTAAACATGATTAACTATTGGTGAACTGGCAAATGCTTTTTATGCAGGGCGTAAGATGCTTGGCTTTGCTACTGACGCACTTCTGTATTGAGGAGGGTAAAACAGAAGAGAGACTGAGTCGGACATATAATTCTTAAACAGTACACCAAAAAATCGACGTAGGAGACACTCAAGATTACACTTAAACCAAAACTGCGATGGAGGTGAGGAACTACTCGTCTGAAAACAGCTCTGACTTATCCGGAATGAGCGGGTGTGAATTCCCGGTGTTAAACCTGACGGACGAGAGCAGGGCTGACGTTTACATGCTCAATGCACTGACGGGAAAGGTGATTCTGATAGTCATGTTCATCATCCTTGCTTTCGGTGTGCCGGGGAATCTGGCGTTTCTTGTTGTGGTATTTCGTGTGCAGGCCATGAGGAACGCCACTAACATGTACCTTACCAGCCTAGCCGTGGTGGACCTAACATTCCTCTCTGTCAGCATCTTACCCTACTTCTTTTACTTCAATAACTCGGTCCGCACCCACTTGAACACTGCTGGGAGAGTGGGTTGCGTCGGGGCTTTCATTCTTCCATACTTTACTTACTTCTTGTCGATATCCACCGTGATCCTGGTGACCCTTGACAAATATAACGCCGTGTGCAACCCCATTAGGTACGCCAAAGGGCGCAACAAGCAGCGAGCACTCTGGCTTATCATCGGGAGCTGGGTGGTTGCCGTGCTGCTGGCCGGCCTGGTAGCGCTCCGCCTCGCCAGCTTAACAAGACGGTGCGCCCTGTGGCCTAAAGGAGAAAAGTACCAAGACTTGCCGGTGCTCGTCGGATACTGTGGTGCGGTCTCGTCAGCCGGATTTATAATCGGGCATTCGGTGGAGGTTGTGGTCTTCTTCATAGCCCTGGCGGCCAATGCTTTCATGTACGGTCGGATAATCTTCGTCCTTAACACCAGAGTCAACAAGAAGAAGCAAGAGCAGCAGACTGTCCCCATTCGGGCCTGTCAGATGCGCAACCAGGTCTCCCAGCTACTCATCACCTTCGGTACGGTGTTTTTCTTGTGCCAGTCTCCATTCGTCTTCATCTCCCTAGCCTACATCAGAGACTATCACCTTGGGATTCCGCGCGATGTGTCCTATCGAAAGTTTGTCCTGCCGCTGACCATAAGCCACGTTTTCATCTTTCTGAACTCCGCCATCAACCCAGTCATCTACAACCTAACCAGCAGGATCTACCGTCGGGCCTTCAAGGAGGCTACGTGCTGCGATCGCTTGCTTTGCAAGCGCGACCGACAGAAGAGCGTGGTTTCGATACGACCACACGTGTGTGAAAACCCCATACCAGCCGAAGAATATGGTGTGGATGATATGGAAACAAAACTGTAAAAATTGGTTATTTCGGATTGTCAAAATGCGGACAGGCCTCAAGAAGCAAATCATATGAAAAAGATAAGTCTACATCGAAATATAGAGCCTTCTTTTCAACACTGTTTTGTATGGAATTAACGCGCAGTTGTCTCAAGCGAAAAGTGTTCTCTCTCAATCGGGATATGACTAAACTTCAAATTAACTCCCGACTTCGTGGGCATGGCTTGGTCAACTACGTTACACTAACACACCGAGGCGTAATTTCCCAACGAGCCAGTCTGGGTATTACCAGTTAAGAAAATATGGAAATTGGTGATTGATAAATGTTGAATGACTCGGTCGAATGACAGAACAATAAGCAAGTAATTGACCTATCGCGGTATATAGACTTGCGTAAACGCAGATTGTGAAAATTGACAAAGTGGACAGGGAGTTGAGTCAGGGAGGCCCAAAAGCTGAGACTACAAACTCAACGATAGAAGTTGTCCGATAGGCGTGGCTAACTTTAAAAGAACAATAGGTCAATCCTGTTCGTAATTCGTCATACTCGCGCAAGCAAACACCACTAATCACAAGCTCCCACTGCTGCTGCGTTAACTTCCGGTTCCATTGGCTCCATGTAACTCTGTGGATATGTTTGTTTCACAAGGATCCAGATCACGATCAGTGATCCATAACAAGAGCGCAGCAAGCGCTTGCTCTGCATGCACAGCCACGAAACCCCTTTGTATATTATACCCTGTGATCGCAATTTTTCGCTGGTTATCTGCATCCTGAAAACTTTGTGTACCCAGGTGTAGGAAATTGAATATTCTTGCAGTTGTTAGTGCTTGGTATGATCTCACAGCATAATAAATTTAATACTTGTGCAGTTGCTTGCATTAAACTTGGTCCCCTGAATGTAGGTGCAGTCATTGCCTTTAACAAACGCTTTCTTCTAGAGTAATTTTGGGGATAATTATTGCCCCGTTGTTCACAAGATTTTGTGTTTTGTTAGAATCATTTTTTATCGTAGTATTTGTAGGCCTACAAAAAAGTATTTCCCGAGATTTCATAATCACTCCCTGTGATGAAATAGCACATTTTGTTCCTTATGAACCAGCTTTCCAGCAGTAGTCAACATTTTGTTGGCTGGTCTTAGCCAAATTCATACCAAGTCTTTGAAAACTGATATATTAGAGGAGGGGAATAAAATTACAAACTTATCATGGATAAAAGTTTATTCACAATTTCAAAATAGGTCTGATATCTCGGAGTTTTCTCTATTTCCCGGTCACAGCAATAATTTGTATTTAATTACAAGCAAAACACTACAACTATTGCTAGGAAAGTACTGGTCCCGCTTGTCCAGCTAAGATGCAGGCAGTTTTTGGAATTTTTCTGTTATTTGTCTGACTCGGCGGCGACAATCATTAAATACTTTGAAGTGCCAGAGTTGCAACTCCTGCTGTGTCCTTCCTCTACGGGTCAACCTTCGGGGTTCCGCATCTGGCGCGATATGAAGGAGACTGGAAGATCAGGGAATTCAGGGGTTGTTTGGTCCACATACATGTAGTCAACACATCAGTGATACACCAGGTGGTGTATTTTCTTCTAATATTATGTGGGTCCAGGCCATATTAGTGGCCCTTGTGGAACCAGTCTGCTCTTGTAGTCCTTGTTACTACTGCAGTAAGAACATATTAAAACATATTAAATTAGTGTTGGCAATTGGCATCAGACTATTTCAACCCTGTTGCCATATGACACACGGAACTCGGCAGCTCAGAAACAATGGAGTCCACGTTACGAGATTTCCGTCATTTTGTGACTTGAATATTTATGAAAGGTAATAAAACAAACTAGTCCTACAGTATAGTTTATAATTCTGGAAAGTAGTGGGAGTTGCTGGTACTCTCGGTGGACGTCAGCTTGACTAACTTTGTGACTGATGTGGTGTCGGAGACCTTGAGCTCCATCTGTCTTGACATGCCTAAAACAATGTGTCAATAACAAATACTACTAAAAATTACTTAAACAGTTATCAATTACGAATGTAACTGGGTGGATTGGACGTCACGTAAATCTAGGCCCTGGCAATCCTGTCTATGACGCCATTCTTGTAAACCGGACGTGGAATTCTAGGCCGCCCCGTTAGTGGGGTGGTAGGTCCATCCTTCAGTGTTGGATGATGAGCCACCAATTAAGTGCACTTTCCCCAAGGAGTGAATCAGACTCCAGATGTGCAATCCAATATTTATTTTTATTGATGATTCATTTGTCTTGTCGCAGCTACTGAGTTTTTTCTCCAAATCAAAATAAAACCTGTTAGCAAAACAATTACATAACTGCAATGAATGAACTATTGTACACAAAGTACAACATACTAGTCACACAATAGTTACATTATTGTATAGTTATTGCTCATAAAGTCATAAATTAGTAATGTACACTCGAGCATTAATCAAGGGACATAACCTAGTTGAAAACATGAATTGTGAACTCGAAGAGACTATTTTTGTTGCAGTGGCTGCTGATGAGGCCCCGTCCGCGCAAGGAACAACGTGGCTTGTGGGTAGCATAATTAATTGGCTCTCACCCCATCAGGGCGCCAGCGTAACTACAGGCATGAACCAACAACGGCAACCTGGTTATCTAATTAAGTGTAAGCAATCATAAGCAGGGTCTCATAACAGAGTAACAGATAACCGGGTCGATAAACCTAACTACGTGTATTATTTCTTATTTGCAGCAAACCACCAACCGTTATATGATATGTGCTGTGTTCTCTGTTTTGTTATCTTGTGCGCAGTTTTGTCCCAAATTAAATACCATAAATTTATCCCTCAAACTCAAAGAGTGTGCAAAACAAAACCTAAGGAGCTTACAGTCATCATTATTGTGCACTTCACTTACGACTTGGGATGACGTGTTATCGACAAAACAGATATAACGACTTCAAAAGCGTGATAATGATAACTTCTAGCTTGCGTTCCAAGTGAATAGCACCCTGTTTTGACAAAATGCAACGAACAACTTGATTTATAAAACGCATTCTGACTACATATTCTAACCTCTTAAATGTAATTACCTCTTAAATGTAATTAAATGTAATTACCTACTCAATACGACATTTACTAGTTTAATTTTAACCTTAAGCACGATACAACCATTTCAACAAAATTAGGTGTTATACTTTTAAGTATTGTAACGTGATAATTCGATTACAGTAGCATTTTGATGGTATTGACAATTTTAAATAACCTGAGAAACTTAGTGAAAGAGCATCAGGTTATGACACAGGCCACAGATATGTAACGAAGACCAAATACTGTAAGCCTACTTTACGTTTCTTTATTCACTAACTCAGAGAGAGGCAACTTCTGCACTGGCTTTAAGTGGATGACCTTGTTTTCACTTTGACCACTCTTACAAGTTTCTTCTTCCCTGAGTAAGTTTTAAAAACACGCCTGATGAGGAGCCATTTGTTTCTAGGGAAGTAATTTGACAATAAGCACAAAGTCGCCAACCTTGAGGTCATTTTGGGTTCAAGCCATTTCACCTTTCTTGAGTGTGGGGAAACACATTCCAGAAAGGATCCATCGGATCCTCCTGGATCCACCTTCTTCAAAATACATTGGCAAGGATTTGCTATTCCATCTCCACACACATGTATCTTTTTGTCTAGTTTATCAAGTGAATGTGATGCACCACAAAGAAATAGTAGGTGATTTGGCTTGATTGGCTCCAAGTTGTTGTCGTCTGACCCGGTGGTTATCTGTCTGTTGTTTATCATAGACTCATTAAGGTTTCATTGCTCACTGTGGGCTCTGTCATTAGTGAACTAGAAGCCTGCATGTCGAGCTCATTTGCCTATCCAGATGCCTTTGGGAAGCAGTCGAGGGGTTGATTTTCCACTGGATTCCCTACTTTGGAAGGAACTTGTCAAGTCAAGCTAACCAGTCAAGTCAGAGCCATTGCCTCATCTCAGCTCTATTGGAGTTGTCCTCGTCGGCAGATTAAATCTGTGCATGCTATGCACGCACAGATGCAACCATATCGCTTGATCTGGTTTTACCATTTCACCAGAAAAAGCCCGAGACAATCTCCTTCGCCAAATGAGAATGGCGGTGTGTTTGGGATTACCCTGTCGGGTGGCAGGTCTGTTATCTTTAGCTTTGCTGGATCTTCAGATCTTTTTCTACACTCGAAGTTGCTCAATACCTTGCGTAGCACGGCCAGAGTGTCACAGCCGTCCCTTCAAGCTTTGTATCGTAACCCTTTTAGAGGTACCAAACGTGACTTCAATAACAGTAGACATGAGTGACTGCGGTCGTCGCTGAATTCACCACACAAAGGCTATAAGTTGCAGCCTTAAAGCTGCCTGGGACACATTAGAAAAATAATGAAACCAATGTCTGCTCGAGTTAGTCCAAGTCCTGTTTATAGCGTTGACAGTGGTCCCTGCGTCGTTCGGTAGAGTTTCGTCCCAACCCAGCTTCTTCCTGCTTAAGTCTTCAACAATCCCCTTGGCTAACAGCTCGAAGGGACTTTCAAATCCTTGCGGGTCATAGATAGAGGATAAAATGCTCAGCAACCTTCTCTTCGTCAATGGTTTCTCCTTTGGGACTAACTCGATACCCAAAGCAATCCACCCTGACATCCCATTGCATTACAAGGCCTTTGGTAGCACTTCGCAATTCAGCTCTTTCTTTATTAGGGACAAACGAACTCGAGGGTTTTCCCTCAACCACCTCGTTAGATCAAAACCACCTCGGGACAGAAATTCCCGTAGTGAGAATAAGCAATCATAGAAATTGGGCATGACGCACTTAATGGTGTCTGTATGGATGGAGGGGTTGGACGGTCTTCCAGCAGGGGGAGGAGTTCGTGCCTGGTGGGAAGACTCCGCTCCAGGGCGCTTGGAAGGAAACACGCAGGTTCGGGGTAAGGTCGGAGAGTAGGGGATCGGTGGGTCTGTCTGTGGAACTTTCACGAACTCACACCCTTCACTTCCAAAACAGTGCTTCCAGATTTCTTGTTTGGGGTCAGAAACTCGGCCTGTTGAAATTGAGCAGGCACTCGTTAATTTTTAAGTTACAACCAATTACATTAAAGACTTACTATTCGAGGAAAATTAGGAAGAATTGAAGATACCCTTAACAAACTTGGTCTGGTACGACCTAAAATTTGACTACAGCGTGTTTATGTAGGCACAGTGGCTATATTGGGCATCCAGGAAGAAACACAAGTATCCAGGCCAACCCCGGTCGCTGGCTGACCAGTACTTACACATACTATCGTTCATAACATGCACTCAAATGTCCTTAAATGCACAATATACAGTCCATAACCTACAGAGACATCCTAGTTCAAAAGAAAGAAAAATAGTCGACAAAAATCAAAGCAAGTATAATGTACATTAACACATTAACTGTGTGGGTCGGGTATCCTAGAGAATACCTACCTAAACGGTCACTACGTATGCAAGTTCCCATGTGCGTATAGCTATTACTCTGTGAGATTCCCAGCGTAAGTGACAATCTGCTACCGAGAGAGCTTGTAATTCACAGCCTCTCCTAGATGTAGCCACCGCTCAGAGAAAGGCCAGTTTTAATAGTGCTAGCGTGCAGAAGGGTTGCATTACTCAAGGGTTCGAAAGAAGGACCAGCCAGCATATGGAGAACCTTGTTTAAGTCCCATGATGCAACTAGTTTCTTTTTTAAGGGGACGTTCTATGAACTTTATGTGTAGTAAGTGGTGCAGTACCAGGTTTTTGGAAATGTTGGCACCATCTTCAATGCCAACATGGATAGCAGCAAGGGCTGACCTGCAATTACAAATCGTAGAGACCTGGAGTCCCGACTCAAACAAGGAACTCAACGACTCAACAGGAAATCAGCCATAGTGCTCAGAGGAGCGTTGGCTGGAGCCAAAGCCTGTTCTTCGCACCACTCAGCAAAATACCGTACTCTTGCTATGGTAAATTTTGTGAGTGGACAGATGTCTTCCCCGTATGGCCATGGCTGCAGCCTGGCTAGAAAGTCCCGCTGAGCGGAAGGATCGTTGGACAACGTCCAGCAGGTTAAGTGTAAATCGCTTGGTACTGGATGTAGAATCCTGGACTCG